AGGCAGGAGTAGAGAAATAATAAAATTTAGAGCTGGAGCGATAGCACAGCAGGTAGGGCATTTGCCTTGCACGTGGCTGACCTGGGTTCGATTCCTCCACCCTTCTTGGAGAGTCCAGTAAGCTACCGAGAGTATCTCGCCTGCACGGCAAAGCCTGGCAAGCTACCCGTGTCATATTCGATATGCCCAAAACAGTAACAAGTCTTACAATTTTATGTGAGAAGTTACTGGTGCCTGTTCGAGCAAATCAATGAACAATGGGAGGACAGTGCTACAGTACTACAAGAACAGAAATCAAGAAGCTGGATTCCCAAAAACCAATTTAAAAAATCAACGAAACCAAGAGCTGGTTCTTTGAAAAAATAAACAAGATTGATAAACCACTTACAAGACACACAAATAAAGAGAGAGAACCCTAATGATCCAAATCAGAAATAAAAGGGGGAATATCACAACAGAAAACAGAGAAATTCAAAAGAGCAGAGAAAGTCCTTGGCATACAGACTTTAAAAGTCTGTATGCCTAGGAACAAGAGAACCTAGAAGAAATGGATACATTCCTGGATTCCTATAACTTCCCAAGGCTGAACCAGAAAGATCTGGAGTACCTGAATAGAACTATCACTATCAAGGAAATAGGAACAGTAATCAAAAGTCTCCCAAAAACAAAAGCCCAGGTTCAGATGGATTCACTAGGGAAGTCTTTCAAACATTTAAAGAAGACCTATTGCCAGTCCTTTTCAAACTTTTCTAGGAAACTGAAGAAACAGAGACATTCCCAAACAGTTTCTAGGAGATACGTATCATCCTGATACCAAAAGCAGAGACACCACAAAGAAAGAAAATAACAGGCCTAGATCACTGATGAACATGCATGCAAAGATCCTCAAAAAATATTAGCAAATAGAATCCAACAACTCATCAAAAAGATCAAACACCATGACCAAATGGGATTCATCCCAGGGATGCAAAGATGATTTAACATTCGCAAGTCAATCAACGAATTCATCATTGAGCAAAACCCTCCATTATATCAAAGCTAAAGGTATCTTCAAAGATGAAATGCCACTGACCAAGCATGTGGAAGCAAAAATAAACAAATGGAACTATCTTAAACAAAGAAACTTCTGTACCTCAAAAGAAATCGTGACCAGGAAACAAAGACAGCATATGGAATGGGAAAGGTTATTCACCCAATACCTTTCTGATAAAGGGTTAATATCAAAGATATACAAGGCACTGGTTGAAGTCTGCAAGAGAAAATCATCCAATTCCATCAGAAAATGGGACAAGGAAATGAACAGAAACTTTATCAAAAAAGAAATTCAGGGGCTGGAGCAATAGCACAGCGGGTAGGGTGTTTGCCTTGCATGCGGCCAACCCGGGTTTGGTTCCCAGCATCCCATATGGTCCCCTGAGCACCGCCAAGGGTAATTCCTGAGTGCAGAGCCAGGAGTAACCCCTGTGCATCACTGAGCGTGACCCAAAAAAGAAAAAAAGAAAGAAAGAAATTCAAATGGCCAAAAGGCACACACACAAAAAAAAATGCTGAGGAGGATGTGGGGAGAAAGGGATTTTCCTTCCTTGTTGGTGGGAATACTGACTGGTCCAGGCTTTGTGGAAAACAATATGGACATTCCTCAAAAAAACTAGAAATTGAGCTTCCATTTGACCCAGCAATACCACTTCTGGTAATATACCTTGAGGAACCAAATATACACAACAGAACTACCAAATGCACTCTGATGTTCATTGCAGCATTATTCACAATAGCCAGAATCTGGAAACAATCTGAGAAAAGATGAATGGATAAAGAAACTATGGCACATCTACATAGTGGAATACTACACAACTGTTAGGATAAAGAAAGTTATGAAATTTGCCTATAAATGGACATGGAGAGGATCATGATAAGTGAAATGAGTCAGATGGAGAGGGACAGATATAGAATGACAGATATAGATGGAAGACTAATATCCATTACCAGGGAAAACAGGGGCTAGGAAGACTGAGTCAAGGGTTGAGCTCAACCACAAATGTGTGTGGGGCAGAGGGTAGGTAAGATAGATAAGAGACCAGTATGACAATAATCACTGGGAATGATCACGCTGGACAAGAATTGAGTGTTAAAATTAGATAAGGGGATATTGTTGATAACCTTTCAGTATCAATATTGTAAATACAATGCACAGGAGAGAGACAGAGACAGAGATAGAGACAGAGACAGAGAGACAGAGAGAAGAAAAGTGCATGCCATAATGCAGGAATAGTGTGGGGATGGGGGGTGATGGGAGGGAACCTGGGGACACTAGTGTTGGGAAATGTACACTGGTGGGTGTGCAATTGAAACCTAATCATGAACAACTACCATGAAACACTACCATGGGCAGTACTGTAAAACTGCAAATCATGATGGCTAAAATAAAAAGATATTTCTAAAAAGGAATTAATTAAAACCTTTCCCCCTCTTGCCAATAGGTATCCAATTCCTATGACTACCATGCTTTCATTAATTTAAACGTCATTTATTACTTGTATTCAAGTTTAATCTGGTTTTTGGCATATCAAATACGCCACGGGTAGCTTGCCAGGCTCTGCCGTGTGAGCGGGATGCTCTTGGTAGCTTGGGGGGCTCTCTGAGAGAGATATGTATATATATATATATATATATATATATACTTATATATTTCTCTCTATGATTTGTTGCCTACTGTCTGAACCCCATCAAATATGGTGTGGTAATTATGAAAAATGAGTAGGGAGTGTTATTAGATATGCCCAAAACAATAACAATAACGGGTCTCATTCCCCTGACCCTGAAAGAACCTCCAATACGGTAGTGTTGGGAAAAATGAGTAAGGAGAGGCTGCTAAAATCTCAGGGCTGGGACAAATGGAGACGTTACTGGTGCCCGCCTGAGTAAATTGATGAACAACGGGATGACATTGATACAATGATCCAGTGATTAAAGTTTAATGAAATGCAAAACTCATGAAACATTAGTTTGCAACTTTGGATGTCAATATTTTTCTATACATCACTTGTGTCTAAACTGACTTATCAATTAAAAAAGCAATAAACATCAGAAAAAAATGGGCAAAGGACCATCAATTCAAAAAGTACAAAGGTTCAGTGAACATGTAAAAGTATTTAAATTAAAAAATAACCAGAAAAATTAAAATACGGATGGGATCCCTTTTATTTATTCATCAGACTAGCCCCCAAATGAAGAATACCCAGAGGTGGATGGGCATGAAGAATTAATGCTTTCATGAACTGTTAAATTAGCACAACTGTTTTGAGGGCAACTAACGTTTTATAACTACATACTCTACTGCGTCGGGCCACCCCAAAGGTTTAGCAGTGACACGGGGCAAGATTAAGTGTGGAGCTTCATTCTGACTTGGAGATGGAACATTTGCCTCAGGATGCAGAAATGGTGGAGCTTCAAACTCCAAGAATTCAGGAGGCCAAGCTAGGGATTCCTGTCGGCCTGAAGATTCAGTCACGTCAGGGATCTCTGTAGCTTGAACCACTGCCTCCTGCTGTATGGCAGTCACCCTCAGGGCTCTCTAGAGGCTGAAACTGGGCCTCCTCTTCAGGTTGGAATTGGAAGAGCTTCTCTTCAAAGCTCTTTGCAGTGTGAGTTAGGTTTAGGGTTTCTGGCTGGGTGGAAGTTTCACTCTCACTGGTGACTGTTGCAGTTCCGGTAATCTGCAGTTAGGCAGGTTTGATGGTGACAGTAGATATATTTAAAAGATGGGCTTCTTTCTGAATTGGAGACAGTTCATTTTCCTGATGAGGCAATAAAGACTGAGCTACAGTTTCCAGACCTGACTGACTCCAGGCCAAGCTACAAGTTCCAGACCTGACCTGGCTCCAGGCTGAGCTTCAACCTCCTGATGCACTGAAGATCCCCTTTCCTCAGCAGCCAACGTAGGCTGAACTAGGGTTTCTGGCAGGACTGAAGCAGTATCACCCTCTTCAGGGGTACTTGACATCAAATATCTGAGTCTGGAGCTTCAGAAGGTTTTGATTCCTCGGGAGATCCTGAAAGTGCAGCTGGGCTCTGTCGTGTGCTTGCTGAAAGTTCAGCTTCCAGGGCCTTAAAGGGAAGCTGTTCTATCTCTTCAAAGGGTTCTGAATGCTGGGGGGAGGGGGGAGGGGGGAGGATTCAATCTCGTGAGAGATTTGGACTTGTTCTGAATCTCTTAGTACATCCAAAGGTTCACACTCCTCGGGATAAAAGATATCTATATTGCAATCTAAGTCATCATCCTGTATCTGTTGTTGTAGACGATAAGGGCTCTTAGATTTTCTGGAAGGCCCAACAACTTTAGCAGCATGGTGAAGGTCAACTAGACCCTTCCTCCAGTTTTCAGGTGAAATAATAAACTTTTATAAAAATTTGAAATCTGTCCACCTAGAGGTGGAGCAGGCGTTTCAAATGACTGATCTTCAGGTTGGAATTGGAATTGTACTTGTCCCTCTAAGAGGCAAAGCTAGAGGAAGACTCTGATACTGTGTCCAACCTATCTTGGATCAACTGGGAGCCTCTGACGTGTTGCTGGCTTGTCAGTAAAACCCTGGCGTGGAACGGCAAATCGATGAGACCCACTGGGCAACTCCTTACCTGAATCCTCATCCAGGGCGGGAACCTAAGTCTTAAGCAACTTCTGAGGCGGGATCAACAACAGAGCAGCAGCCACCTTGATCGCCACGTGAGGAGATGTAGGGCCCAGAGTAGCAGCCAAGACATGAAATGAGGGGGACCTGAGGTGCTGCAATTCAGGCCAGTAGGGCGCATGGCGTTTATGCCGCATTTATAAGCCGCCTTTATTGGGTCTGGGCCACGCAGACTCTGCATAACCAGCAGGACCCAGGCTTTCCTTCTTCCCCCGAAGGCACAAAAGACATCCAATCAGGTCCTCTTTCGCTCCCCTTCGCCCCCAGCCTCCCCTCGCAACCCTGCCAGTCAAACAGGACTGGGACTACAGACTAGTATGGGGAGAGCACCGGGGTGGGGGTGGGGAGAAGGAACAGTGTGTCCCCCTGCAGGGAATGCTGGCGAATTCAATAGTACTAGTCCAGTTGTGGTGGTCTAGGTGCTTCCTCCTCACTACTGAAATCCGAGAGACATTCTTCCTCCCCTTGGCCATCCTGCTTCCAAGACAGGTAGCTGACCTGCAAAAGGAGCATACTTAGGGTAGATGGGGGTTCCCAAATATTGTCATTTCCTTTAAACTCTTAGTATCTGATTATTTATCACTCTCCTAAAGAGTGGAGAGCATGGAATCACACACCCAAAATTTTCTGAAGGAGGGCTTTGATTTAACTATTTTAAAAATTATTTTGCAGAAATAGATCAACAGTTCAAAAGATTGAGCACACGCTTTGCACAAGAAAGGTTTGAATTTGATCCCTACCATCCCCTGGTCCCTTGAGCACTTTGACAAGTGATTATAACAAAGAGCCAGGCTGGGAAATTCCTGAGCAGTGCCAAGTGTGAGCCACGCTTCCTTCCCCACAAATAAAAATTATTTTACAAAGGAAAAAAAGATTTTTCAACAAAAGGAACATAACCACCTTTTCTCTCCCTTTCTTCCCCTAAATTTGGAAACAAATTTTCTGAATTTGGGTAAAGTTAATTACATATATCCAACACCAAATTTATTCCCAGTGATATGAAACACATTTTGTTCCCCCCTTCCCTCCACTGCTATCACTAGAACACACACATTTAAATAGTGCATTCATATTTTCTCCTGGAAATTCATATTTCTCCTAATTTGGAACACTAACAGTAACATCTTCATTCATCCCTGTCATGTGCTAGTGTAGCATGATGGCATACTAGGGGCTCTTTCAGGGTGAGGAGAATGAGGACCATCATTGTTACTATTTTGGCCATATTGAGTATGCCACAGGTAGTTTGCCAGGCTCTGGTGTGTGTACCTTGCCAGAGATATTTTATTTTTTATTCTATAAAGGACACTCTCGATAGCTTGCTGGGTTCTCCAAGAGGGATGGAGGCTTTTAGGGCAGCCTCTAATCACCTTTACAGGTGTTCCCAGTCAGGCATATATGTGGGCAAGATATAAAATATTTCATACACGATATATATGAGATGTTGAGCTAATATACTAGTTGAAAAAAATGTAACCTTTCAAATGCTGTAACATAATGACATTTAAGGTCCCAAATCCCTAGGATCCTGTTTCAGGGGAGTTCAAAATGGTATTTCTCTGAAAGAATTAAGAGGACACTTAGAACTTTCCAAATTTCAAATAAGTGTTTAGAACCAAGGGCCTCAGGAAAACTTCAGAAATTTCCTCAAATAAATTTTTAGGATTTCATATTTTTCTGGGGATGGTAGAATTGACTACACTTGCTAAAAACTTCTAAAATCTGCTCATTATTTTGAATTACGGCCATCCTGTGTATGTCATCCTTGAGTTTTTCTCTTCACGTACTTGAATTAAATCATGTAGTTCTTCGGTTATGGCATCAGTGAGCTCCTCAAAATGTCGGTATTCCACAGCTATTTTACCACTTTCTGAAATAAAGTTAACAAGGATCAATTCAAAATTACTGGCTAAAATGTTCTTTCTATAAAGGTAGTATACAATGATACTGGGTGTGTACTTCCTTTATACAACCAAGAATTTTATTTTTAAAGCATAAAATAAGAGCATTTTCCTTGTCAATGCAGACATTAAGTTTGGTTCTTTTTGCTTCTGTTTTAAGGCCATTCTCAATGGTGCTCAGGGATTATACACACTTCATACTTGGGAGTAACTCTTGGCAATGCTGTGCTGAGCTGGAACTGAAACTATGCTTCCTGCATGCAAAGAATGTGCTCAGACTTTTGAGCTATATCTCCAACCCACTGCTTCGTTTATTTCTTTATATTTTGGGTTTGCGAATCCTATCTTCTGGTGCTCAGGGACTATTCCTGGCTCTGTGCTCCCTGGTGGTGCTAGAGGGGACCATATGCCATGCCAGGAATATGCAAGGCAGGTGCCTTGGCTCCGGTACCATCTTCTTAAGCCCCCATTAGTTCTTAAAGATTATTATGGTTTATAGAAATTTTACCAGATGAGCAAAGAAGTCACTTTTGCTAGAAGAATTGCCCAGACTGCAAGGCTGAAGTCAATCCAGGATCTACTCGTGTCATAAATAAGGTCTCTGACAACTTAAAATTTCTGATTCTGAGACTGCAGGACTATAAAGCAAGGAAAGCAATTCTGTTTTTGGATTCTCTACTGATTATTCAGTTTCCTTTGGGCACAGTCAGAAGTATTCATAGCACTATAAAATTCCATAAGAGGAGAAAATTTAAAAATTGTAAATAGTATGACCACTATGTGTTTTTGTTGTTGGGGGCCACACCCAGCAGTGTTTAGAGTCTTCTCCTGACCTAAGTACTCAGGGGTTGCTCCTGGACACCCACGTGGTGCCAGGAATCCAACTGTGGCCTTCCACATGCACAGCATGTGCACTAGGCCTCTCAGCTGTCTTCCTGGCCCCAGCAGAATCACTGTGAAGGTTCACAATACATAGTTGGTTGTTACATAGAATCTCAACCACTCAATATGTCAGTGCTGAAAATCAACCCTGAACTGATTCCAGTTATGTTTTCTCTTCAAGTAGGAAAATAGTAGCAATAATTAGAATATTTTGTCCATTCCTAAATTCTAGGTATGTTTTAAGTATTTTACTTTTACAACATTGCCCATAAGGTAAGCTAAATTACTAAGTGTATATTTTTAGAAAATTGCAGCTTAGAAATACCTTCACATATCTATTTAGAAGACCAACAGCTGCATTTTAAAAATGAGACAGAGAGGCCAGAGTGATATTACAGTGTATAGGACATTTGCCCTGCATGCAGCCAACACAGGTTCAGTCCCTGGCACCCATATTGTTCCCAAGTCCTGCTAGCAGTGACTGAGCGCAGAGCCAGGAGTAAGTCCTAAATATCAGCAGGTGTGGCCCAAAAACCAAGAAAAGAATAAAAAAAATGGGCAGAGCTAGTACTTAAACAGAGGAGTCTGAAGTTTATAATCACTATACTATTCTGGGGGCTGGAGTGATAGCACAGCGGTAGGGCGTTCGCCTTACAAGCAGCCAACATGGCCGACCCGAGTTCGATTCCTCCGCCCCTCTCGGAGAGCCCGGCAAGCTACTGAGAGTATTCGATATGCCAGACACAGTAACAACAAAGTCTCCAATGGAGACATTACTGGGCCCGCTCGAGCAAATCGACGATCAATGGGAGGGCCTTTACCTTTACCTTTTTATACTATTCTGCTTTATTGATAAGCAACTGAGAAAGAAGAATTGGATCAAATATTCTCTACAATCAAAACAATTCTACATATATGCATTGGGGGTAATATTTGCTGTAATCATTTTTCACAGATTCCACAAAGAACAAATTTGAGACTACTTCTGTAAAGGATCTAGTGAATAAAAGAAAAGGAAGTACTTATATTTCCATTATTTTGATATAATTGACTTTTCAAGATCAATTTATTTGCTCTTCAAATAAGAAAACTGCATGCAGTACTTCAAGGACAACCAAAAAAAGTCTTACCTAAAACCACAATGAGTAGTTTCTGAAATGCATCTGACACTGCCTTTTGTATAGCAAACTTCTGAGTTGTCTTTCTTTTCATAAGGAATGATAATGGTCCTAAATCCAACCAAAACAAATAGATTTACAATGCCAATCTGTATAAATGATTTTTATGAAGTCTAAAAAGAGAACTGGGGCTGGTCTATAGTACAGATGGTAGGGCATTTCCCTTGTATGCAGCCCACCTGGGTTCGATCCCTGGCATCCCATTTGATCCCCCGAGCACCGCCAGGAGTAATTCCTGAGTGCTGAGCCAGGAGTAACCCCTGAGCATTGCTGGGTGTGACCCAAAAAAGCAAAAAATATAAAAATAAATTAAAATTAAAATTAAAAAAATAAAATGAGAACTACATCAGGATCTTAGTAAGGGAAGGCACCACACAAGGCTATGTCTGGAAGGCTCTGTGGTAGGTATATTCTGTCAGGGTTATTACCATGCATTTTTGCTGTCAGATCTATTCTGTACATTCCTGAATAGGTCAACGAGAAGGGAGAAATTAGTCAAGATCATGGCACAGAACTCCACTGATTATATATTTCAAATGGGCAAATTGAAGCTAGACACCTAAAGATTACTCTATTATAAACCAGGAACTTGACGTACCTCACACCACTAATATTCCAAGAGAGCACACCACATTTATGGGGTTTAAAGTAGAAGGCAACCAATCTTAGAGGCAAATTTATTTTTACAGATTTGCCTTGCATGCAGCCGACACAGCCAACCCGAGTTTGATTCCTCTGACCTTATCGGAGAGCCCGGGAAGCTACTGAGAGTATCATCTCACCTGCACGGCAAAGCCTGGCAAGCTACCGTGACATATTCGATATGCCAAACACAGTAACAAGTCTCACAATGTTACTGGACCCGCTTGAGCAAATTGATGAACAATGAGAGGGCAGTGACAGTGATAAATATATATATTTATGCTCGAGCGGGCCCAGTAACGTCTCCATTGGAGACTTTGTTGTTACTGTGTCTGGCATATCGAATACGTCCCAGGGAGCTTGCCAGGCTCTGCCGTGCGGGCAAGATACTCTCGGTAGCTTGCCTGGCTCTCCGAGAGGGGCGGAGGAATCGAACCCGGGCCGGCCATGTTGGCTGCGTGCAAAGCAAACGCCTTACCCGCTGTGCTATTGCTCCAAAGCACACAAGGCTCAACCTTTAACAACATGTCAGTAATCTCTTATTGAAGGGCTTAATGGTCCCTGGGGGAAATACAAAAGTCTTCACATACTTTCCTCTAAGGAAATTTTTTGGATTATTTTCAGCAGTTGATTCAGAACACACAATCACTGTCATTGTCACTGTCCTCCCATTGTTCATCGATTTGCTTGAGCAGGCCCAGAAACATTGTGAGACTTATTACTGTGTTTGGCATATCGAATACGTCACGGGGAGCTTGCCAGGCTTTGCCATGGGGGCGAGATACTCTTGGTAACTTGCCGGGCTCTCTGAGAGGGGCGGAGGAATCGAAGTCAGGTTGGCCATGGTGGCTGCATGCAAGGCAAACACCCTACCCGCTGTGCTCCAGCCCCAGAACAAACAAAACAAAATAAATTATTTTGGTTCTGCTTTGGGGCAGGGGTTGGGGATCAGGATGGAAATATCCAAAATATTGTGGTGGGAAGGTGTAATGGTGTTGGGATTGGTGTTTGAATATTAAATGTAATCAAATATTGTGAATTACTTCATACAAATTAAATTAAAAAAAAAAACCCACAGGAACTTGAGAAAGGTTTGGTAGTAGCATAGATGAGCTGGTCTCTCCAAAAGATTCACCCACCAAAATCTGTTCCAGTTCTTTCACTAACAGCCCTGCCTTTGATTTAATACCCTAAGCCTAAGTGCCATAGATTCTGGGGGGAAAAACATTTATATTATTTAATTATCTAGATGGACTGGATTAGGTGTTCCCAGCACCCCTCACCCCCCCAAAAAAGTTTCTGTTGGTGACAACCTAAGATTTAAACAAATATTTTTAAAAACATCTGCCCAAGCAGATGTGAGGCTGGAGTCCATTTAGGGCCAGTGCTGGTCTGTGCGGGGGCCAGGGCCTGATGGTATAGGCCACTCTGGCTCTGCTGAGGAGGAATCAGTCTCTGTACTCCTGCAAGGCCACCAGCCTGAAGCCAGGCGGTGTGGATGGACAGTCCTTTTATCCACCCATCACAGGCCTTGGTGCTAGCGATGACATTATCACTCAGCCATGGTGTCCGGGTTCAGAGAATGCTCCGGCCAGCCCACCGCCCCCCTCTTCCCACCTGGCCTGCACACCCCACTCCACTCCCCTTCCCGGTTCAGAGCCCACCAGCCTGAGGCTTTCTTTAATTTCTGATGGGATTACTCATTCTAGACCTCTGCCCCTCCTCGGGAGGCTCAGGAAGGGAGAGGGGATTAGCAGGGCCTGTCAGAATTGAGGTATCCTGGCCATTAGTATCCAGGGCCCCAGAAATCCCAGCATTCTGGGGTGGAATACAGATGCCATCTGCAGGCAAAAGGCCTGGTGTTTTCCATGTCAGGAGGAGGCTAATGGGCTTATTCCCCTCTGTTGACCAGTCCCTCTCACCTTCCCCACCTCGCCCAGCCACTTCTCCAGGCAAGTCCCCCTCTGCCAAGAAACTTCTTTGCTTTTTTGGTTTTTTTCCCCGCTTTTCGCTTTTTTGGGCCACACCCAGATGTTCTGTGGGGGCTACTTGGGCTCTGTGCTTGGCGGGGTCACTCCTGGTGGTGCGTGGGGGGGATCATGGGGTATCAGGGATCAAATCTAGCCCTGCATGCAGAGCCCATGCCCTCTCTCTCTCCAGTCCCCCTTTGCTGCTTTTCCTTCCCTACTGGTGTAGTTGGGTTAGAGCAACAGCACACGGGTAGGGCATTTGCCTTGCACATGGCCGACCCGGGTTCGATTCCTTCATCCCTCTCGAGAGCCCAGCAAGCTATTGAGAGTATCCTGACCTCATGGCAGAGCCTGGCACGCTCCCTATGGCGTATTCAATATGCCAAACACAGTAACAACAGGTCTCACAATGGAGACATTACTGGTGCCCGCTCAAGTAAATTGATGAATAACGGGAGGACAGTGGTATAGTGCAGCACGGAGAGGGCTGTTTCTGATGTATATGAAAATATGGTGTGTGTGTGTGTGTGTGTGTGTGTGTGTGTGAGAGAGAGAGAGAGAGAGAGAGAGAGACAGACAGACAGACAGACAGACAGACAGACAAAGAGACAGACAGAGAGACAGAGAGAATGAATTCTTATGCACACCCCCATTCCAGTCCCCACACAGACCTTCCGTTTTATCCAAAGTCTCCTGGGCTATGCCAACTCCAGGGCTCTTGCAATCAAAGGATGGCAATACCACCTCTAAAGCACAGAAGATCTTCACGCTTTGCTTCTCAAGTGGTGCCACAATATCTTCATTTTCCCTTTCTTCAATGTCAGAAAGATCCTGAAGCTGTTAAGATTTTAGATTGAAGGTTTTCCTGAGCATCTCAATGTAGATTTTTAAATGTTTAATTAGAAATAAAAATGAAACTCCAGCTATCCTTGCTAACAGTGGAAGTAACCTGTGTCTTAACATTAAGAAAACATTCTGTGAACTAAACCAGCCACGCACATATAGAGCACATAAATGTTGTAGAATATGGACATCACCGTCAATTCACTGAAATCTTTATTGATTCTGGGGTGTGACCAGTGCTCACACTTTCACTTAGACAACTCTCATTTAGCAGGTCTGTAGGTTCTCATGGCCCACTGGGGTCACACCCCACAGTGCTGGGGAGTCGTGCAATACTCAGGACAAAACCCAGGGCCTTAAACACCGTGGGCACAGGCTCTGCACTGAACTCTCCACTTCCTACCTTGACAATCCTTTTAGACCATCCATTGAAACCAAAATAGTAGTTTGCCAGTTCTTGGCATTGGGAGCTGTTTAGGGCAAGAGTCCGATGTTGAACTGCTTTATGTCTGCTGAGACGAACCTAAAGACATAAGAGAGATACTCGATGATAGGAACAACTTCCCACAGAGATCTAACTCATCCGACAAAAGACTTCTCAATACAAGACTCATAAAGTGGCTGTGAAGAGCAAATCAAACAAACTTTGGTGGTGGTTGTTGTTTCAGAGCCATACTCAGCAGTAATCAGTCACTCCTAGCTCTTTGCTCCAGGATCACTCCAAGTGGTGGTTGGGGGAATCATATGTGCTGCTGGGGATAGAACTGGGTTGGCAGCAAGCAAGGCCAGCACATTAACTCCTGGCCTATTTCTTTGGTCCTTAAACATTTTAGGAATTAAGTTCATAGTAAGCACTAATACTTATTATTTTCAAGCCATGGTACTTCTCTGTATTATTTCTATAATCTCTGATTAGTCTCAGCATTTTCCTGACTTCTGGTTGTACGTGAAACTATAAGCCAAGAATATCTGCAAGACTGAAGATAAGCAAAAGAAGTAAATTGCTTCAGTGATTCTATCTAGCAGCTCTTGTCTGAAACTATAACCTGAAGGATAAGATAGACCTGCCACCAAGGGAGGACCTCCATTTGCAGCACTCCTCTCTCCAAATTACTCTTCTTAGAAGAATACATTTTATTTTTTTTATTATAGCATTTCATGATCAACTATTATCTGCATAGAACTTCCTTATAAAATAAAGAATACCTCTATTATTGTTCTCTAAATACACATTATTGTGGACTTATTACATCATTAGTTCTTAAAAGTCAATTTCAACTTTCAGCCAGGATGTACTATATGAACATATTTATAAAAATTTAAATGCAAGGGTGGAGAGATAGTTCAATGGGTAAGGCATTTTTGCCTTGCAATATGGCCAATCCGGGTTCAATCCCCAGCACCCCATGTGGTGCCACCAAGCCAGCCAGGAGTGATCCCTGAGTGCAGAGTCAGAAGAAAGCCTTGAGCACTCAAAACAAAAAAGAAAAACAATTCAAATACAAATAAAAGCAAAGCAATATTAATTATTGCTGCATTTGGTAGACTGGGAACACCTGTAAAAGCCATTAGAGGTCGCCCTAAAAGCCTCAGTCTCTTTCAAAGTGTCCGGCAACCTACCAAGAATATCCCACCCGAACGGCAGAGCCTGACGAGCTACCAGTGGCATATTCTATATGCCAAAAACAGTAACAATAAAGAGCCTCCAATACAGCACCAAGTAAGGAGAGTCTGCTAAAATCTCAGGGCTGGGATGAAAGGAGATGTTACTGGCAACCACTCAAGAAAATCGATAAACAACAGGAGGACAAGTGATCAAGTGATCACTATTACAAGTTTATAAGCACCTTGAGTGCTCAAAGGATCCATATTGTATCCTTTCCTCATTCTCTGAAGCAAGAAAAGTTTGTTATCGACAAAGGATTGATAGTTTGTTGGTTGATAGAATAAATCAAGGAATGAGAAAAGAGAACAAAATTAGTATCCCCAACTTAAAGTTGCCTGTGGAGAAGAAGCAATGAAGATTGATCTTTGAATGCTTACACCACAGACTAGCCTGTACCTGTAGTGACTGCAGCTTTGTCAACTAGGAACTTCAGAAGTTCTGAGACCCCAAGAGTAGTTATCTTAACTTTGTAACAGGTTTTTTTTTTTTTTGCTGGCACCCATGAAGAAACCTCTCTGATGACCTGATGACTTGGGTCTTTCCTTCATTTTACATTAAGATCCCTTTTACTTTTCTGTACTTACAGGACGTCAAAAATAGATAAGAACTATGGGTGCTCTCCAAGGTATAAAAGTTACCCATTTCTCTCATGGAAATGGGTTAAGTTTCAGAGGAAAGGTAGTAATCCCAGCCTCTGCATTAGATAATCTAACTAAAATAACACCTTCACAACTATAGACTGATCTGTAGAAGGTTCCCTTTGTCACTATATTGGTAAAGAATTTTATGCTATAAAAATCTCAACACCACATTTATGAAACTCGTCTTCTTCCCTCCTGCAGTGCCCTCACATTGGCAAGGTCTATGCTCTGCCATTGAGTCACATCCCTGTTCCTACAAAATGGTCTTAATAGCCAATGAGAGAAAGGGGTGGGGGGGAGTACCACTCATTAATTACAACGGATAAAAGTATATTTATTTATTTTGGGGTTTGGGGCCACACCTAGCAATGCCCAAGGCTTCTTCCTGGCTCTGCACTCAAGAACCACTCCTGGTGGGTCTTGGGATCTCCCAAGTTAGCAAGTGCAACCAGTGTTAGCAAGTGCAAGCCAAGAGCCCTCGCCGGCTATACAATCACTCTGGCTAAAAATGTTTTTAATACCAACTGTAATATGACTGTGAGATGGCAATAGGTTAGCTGCAGCATATAGTCTGCAAACCAAATAATGTCCAAGAGAGCTTGCTCTCACTCCAAGTGGGTGGAGTAGGGGCTTGAGCAGGTGCTAAGCCTGCAGAGGAGCAGCAGAGTCTATGGTCACACGGAGGGGTGTTTTCATGTCTGATGAAGGCGCAAGCAAGGACGAAAGGACAGGGAGTGAGAATGACCAGCAAGACAAAGATTGAGAAGCCAGTTCAGGGAGCCAATCAGAGCAGGCTTAGAATTATAAAGTTAAAGGTTTGGAAAAAAAAATAATCCTCATTCATATATTCAGGGGCATGGGAAGGGGTGGGGAGTGTACATGGGAAAACAGCGGAGCAGGGGACCCCTAGGTTCTACCCCCATCCCCTCCACACCCAACCCTGCTCCACCAAAACCAAACCAACCCACAGAAAAATGAACATGGGCCAGACAAAAGAATGGGACTAAAATGAGGCCCGCCCAAGCAAGATGGAATTCAGGAGCTGGAGACAGGTGGAGTCCGGGGTGCACGCAAAGGGAAGAAAGTTTTCAGTGGGAACTGGGAACTGAGGGTGGGCATCGGGGAACGGTTGGTGGAAGACAGGACGATGGCGCTGGCCACGAGTCCCTCCAGCCAGCAGGACTGTCAAGCGCACACCTGGACCCCCTCAAAGCCCAGAGGTGGCTGGCAACTGGGCTCTGACCCTTCCAGCTAGTCTCTTACGCAACTAGCCTCGGTGTTTCTGCAGCAGACAGCCCTGGGTGCTGCCCCGATTCTGGGGGACACTCTGCAAGGCAGCGGGAAGCTGGTGGGTGAGGGTGGGTAGCTGCCAGTTTAAGATGCCCCGGCCCAGCACTGCTTCCCACGGGCCCCGACCCCCAAGTGCCAACCCACCTTCAGCGGAGAGGACTGGAAGAGCGGCTGCTGGTGGCAGGCCTGTTGGGCTGAGTGAGCAGCGCGAGCTGAATAAAACTTGACCACGGCGTAGAACCCGGGCCGGGCGGCCGCAGCGTTGGGGAAGACGCGCACCGAATACAGAAGGCCGAAGCGGGAGAAGGCTGCGGACAGAGAATGCTGCGGGGCCGCCGCGGTCACCCACGGCACAGTCCGGCGGCCAAGGCCCACGGTCCCCGCACACCCCTACCCCGCCGCGCGGGAGGCCACATCCCCAGCACGTTGCAGCTGCAAGCCCGGGCTGCAGCCGCGTCGCACGACCACGGCGTCCGAGGGCCAGCACGAGAAACTGTCGCGGCTGCTGACAGCCACGGTTTCCTTGGCACACGGCAGGGCGCGGGGCCGCGGCGGGAAGTCTGGGCTCGCGGGGCGACTTTCCCGGAACACCCCGCCCTGACCTCCGGACCCGACTCACATGCAACTCTTCGGCCGTGGGACCTGGGCTTAGCTCCCACACCAACAGGGTTTTGTCACTCTCGCTGGGAACCGTGAAAGGTATCACCTCAGCCATGCCAGGCCTCACTGAGCGTGAGCGCGCCAGGCTCACTCGGCATTGCGCCTGCGCAAAACGCGCCCGCGGTTTTTCAAAGGGGTTCGCGCAGGGGGTGGGGCGTGCTGGGGGCGGGGCTACTGTGGCCAGGCCCAGCCTACCATGGGGCGGGGCTCGGCACTGAGTCCCCACCTTAGAACTCTGTGATGTCCCATCAGCTCAAGTCCTTCTTGGAGAGCAGAGTGCTAATTTATTTTCTTTCTTTCTCTTTCCTTCCTTCTTTCTTTCTCTTTTCTTCCTTCTCTTTCTTTCTTTCTCTTTTCTTCCCTTCCTTCCCTTTCTAAGAGTTGATCACAGTACTTGGTTACATTCAATATTTCAACACCAACTTCACCACCGTTACATCTTTCCACCACCTTTAAGTTTCCCACCACTACCCAAGATGTTAATTTTGTTATAAATAGTTGACTAAAAATGATCCAAAAAGGTTTCCTTAAAGTGTGCGAAAATTGTTGTATCTCATCTCGGAGCCATTAAACCCCAGGATTAGAACCCAGAGAGCTAATTTAAGGATGCTGGGGCAAGGACCACTATGAAGCAGTGTTTTCTTCTTCATCCAGGACCTTTGGGTAGCAGACAGAGAGCACCACCTAGTGAAACTGTAAAATGTCCCAAGCACAAAAATTTGTAAGTGTACAACTGTACCTCATGGTGTTTCACTAATAAAAATTTAAAAGAAAAAAAAAAGAAACTGGAAAATGAGGAGCACTTACTGTGTGGGGGAAACTACCTTGGAAGAGGCACAGTAGCACTGCAGCACTGTCCTATTGTTCATTAATTTGCTCGAGCGGACCAGTAACGTCTCCATTGTGAAACTTGTTACTGTCTTTGGCATATTGACTACGTCACGGTACTTGCCAGGCTTTGCTGTGTGGGTGAGAGACTCTTGGTAGCTTGCTGGGCTCTCCGGTCGGGTGCAAGGCAAATGCCCTACTGCTGTGCTATTGGAAGAGGCGGGTCATAAAAATCTGTCATTGGTAGTCCCATCTGAATCCTTAAAAAAAATTTTTTTCCTCCCCACCCCAATCCCAACTCCACATGATACTGGACCATTGTGAAGGTGTGTTTGTGGGGCCAAGATGATTTCGCAGCTGAGAGCAGGGCAGAAACTGGGGAATCGAGTTGATTCAAGTAGTAGCTCCAATATGAGAGGTCATGGTGCCCGAGAGACTATTCTTAGCTTCCCTGTAACTATTTGGTGGAGCAACAGCCTGAGAAGGTAAGCTGGTCCTATCCATCTGTAATTCTACTTAGTTGACTTGTTTTGGGGGCACACCCAGTGATGCTCAAGGCTGACTCCTGGCTTTGTGCTCAGGCATCACAGAACTCCTGGCAGGGCTTGGGGGACAATTTATGGAGCTGGGGATTGAACTCAGGCCAGGAGAGTCAGGACAGCACCAAATCCTATCTGTGACATTTTCCTTGGTCCTTGAAAAAAGAATACTATAATCAGGAGTCAGAGTGAGAATACAGCAGGTAGAGTATTTGTCTTGTATGCAGCTGACCAGGTTCAATCCCTAGCATCCCATATGGGCCCCTGAGGACCACCAGGAGTAACTCTTGAGTGCAAAGCAGGAGAAACTCCTGAGCATTGCCAGACTTGCCCCCCCCCCAAAAAAAGGGATAATATAATCAATGTTCTTCTTTTCTAAGACAAAAATTGATTCCATTAATATAGTGTGACCTCTCTACAATGCTAATAATTGTTTTGTGAAGAGGAACATTTTATTTATCCCTTTCATTGTTAAACTTGGTTTCAAAATGGAAAATCTTTGATCTTGGTCTTAATTTTATTGTTGTTGTTTTAACTGTTATGGAAATCTAGAAGTCTGGAAACAACCACATCATCATTTTTCATTTTATGGCTGCTGTTGTTAAACCTCAGAAGTAGGAACATGAGCGATTCAAGGCACACCCCAGTTTTATCAGGACTGATGGCTGCTACATGCAGGACATGCCTGCATCTGTCCCTTTTCTGAAAATATTCCTGTGTTGTCCTTAAGCAGGTTTTATTAATACTGGCACACTTCAGCAGAGGAGCCTCTGGAGAGCACCCCCCATTAAACCCAGCTGCAGAAGGTGAAAACCAGTCCTGGCACCTCAGGACTTCCTGGCACCTCAAGGAGGGGGATCCTAAAAGCACCTAAAGGAGTCTCAAAGGAACGAGACTCAAAGAATCAGCACAGAGATGACGGGTTCTCCTTGGGGTCCTTATCAACATCTGTGAAATGACCAACTCTCTGCTGTCCGGTCAAGAGAACGTGGAGGAAATGTGCACCCACCACGCATGGGGCAAGCGTGTGTGCTGCTCTGAGGTCAGTTCCTTGGGTTCAGGAGTGTCCCAAATGGTCAAAAGTCAATGATCTGGCACCTGCAGAAAGAAGACATAAGTTTGACAGCTCCTGTGCCCACCCTGGCAGTAGCCTCCCCAGGACCCACTTACCCACTCCCCTAACTACAAGACTCATTGCCAAATGCTCTCGGGTGGTTGTTGGGGCTGACCAGCAAACAGCTCTGGCTGGGGGAGCACAGGGTGCGGAGTCTTAACATGTGCCAGGACAACTCACACAGCGTTCTGCGACCACACCGTGGCACTCTCCACATCCCCAGGCCAGCACCGGGGAAGGAAGGGCTGGTTCCCACCACTGCAGTGGAGGGAGTGACTGAGGCACCAGCACTCACCTTCAGGGACTTGGCCAATGCCTACCAGGCAGGTGGCCAGCACAGGGAATCCAACACCAGTGCTGGACACACAAACCCCAGGGGAACAGAAGGTGAGGAGAAACCCTGGCCACGCAGCAGAGGCAGCCCCCCAGCTAGCCCACCACTGACGCCCCTGGCGGGGGGCAGTCCAGACACCCCCCTTAACTGCCATGTCCCCCAAGCTAGCTGACCACGGGAGCCCCCTCCGGGGTCAGTCTAGCCACCCCTTAACTGCCGGGCTGTGCGCACGCGTCTATATTTGGCTGCTGGGGGCAGTGAGGGGGGTTGGCGGAGAACTCTGACCCTTCTCAGACCACACGGGGACTGGGTCAACGGTCAATGGGTGCGGAGCTGAGGCCGCGGGCAGAGTGCGAGGACCCTGCTGGGTTTGTCATGAGGCGGATGAGGAAGCGGAGATGGGCGGCCCAGGAGGACCGGGAGGACACGGGGGTGAGGCGCTGAGCTCGGGCACATTTCAGGGCTGGATCCAGGTTGTCACGAAGCGCTGGGCTCCACCGGCCACGCACCTTCGGCTTTTGTCGGGGCAACACCCGACAGTGCTCAGGGCTCAGCCCCGCGCTCCGCATTCAGGAATCCCATATGCGATGCCACAGGGAATCGAACCCGGGTCTCCGGGGCGGGCCTCGGGGTGCACTGCAGGGAGCTGAGGGAAACTGGGCTAAGGGAGCCGAGCCCGCAAGGGCTGTCCCCGAGGTCGCGGGTGATGATGCGCCGGGCGGGGTGGCGTCTGGCCGGGGTTCGGGCTCGCGGGCTCGGGTGGGGAAGGGGCTGGCAGACGCCCGGCTCGGGGAGGGCACCCGGCGGGGTTCCGCGGGGCTGCCCCGCCGCCGCGGCGCTTCCCCCCTCCTCGTCCCCTCAGCCGTCACTCACCACAGCGAGCCTGTGGGAGGCTGTGAGGGGCGCTCAGGGCCGCGGCAGCACCTGAGATCTGTTCCTGACACGGCGGCAGCCTCCCAGCCCCAGACAACAGGAAGCAGAGCCCGCGGCGATGACGCAAGCACGTCGCCTGGACGTCGGGCCACGCCCCCAAGCCAACGGCCCAATCGCGGAGCTAGGAAGAGTTTGGGGGCGGGGCCAGCGCGTCGGCATTCCGCCAAACGTCCCAGAGGAAGCTGCAGACCTGTCCCCCAGCGGGGCTTGCCGGTTGCCGCAGGTGTCCCCATGCGACTAAATCCTACTGGCTACGTTCCCTTGCCGGCTACCTTCTGCGTAACGATGGGGCCCTCTTGGCTTCCGTGAGTGACGCTTGCCCACTTGTTGAAGCTCCTTGTCTTTGCTTTCCCAGGGTGTAGGCTCTGGGAACCGACAGAGCTCAGGGACCTTCCTGCCCAGGGGACTCTCCGGGAAAACGAGTTTTCCCTACGCCTTATTCAATATGCCAAGCACAGTAACAAGAAGTCTCACAATGGAGACGTTTACTGGGCCGGCTCGAGCAAATCGATGAACAACGGGAGGACAGAGACAGAGATTTTATACCGGAGCGCGCCCTGAGCACCCCCTCCCCCCGCCCCGTGATGTTTTATAGGAACTGCTTGGCATCTGTCCCAAAGACCCAAGACATTTGCACCCTTCTGTTTTTTGCAGCACTATTCACATCAGTCAAAATATAGAACCGACCCAAATGTCCAAGAAGAGAGGACTGGTTAAAGAAACTGTCTTTGTCTTTAAAGGTACATCTACAGAATGGAATACTACTCAGCTCTAAGAAAAAATGAAATCTTTTGAAATGAAATCTGCTATGTGAGCGATCTGTGATTTGCCCTTGTTTTTACTTTATTCATCACTTCATTCAACAAGTGTTTTCTGGGTTCTAGTGTGTGTCACCCACGCACTGTTCTGGGCCCTAGAGGTGCACTAGTGGATGACTTGTGGAGAGGGGAAGTTCCTGTTTTCATTCAAAGTCCTAGGGAACATGAGAGAAGAGTGTGTGAGAGAGAAAAAAGGTGTTCTTGACTGGATGGAAGGAAAGAACATCTTCATCTGGTGTCTCCCAGCCTGCCTGTTGTTGCCTCCCTCGTCCTAAGCTTAGTCTGGGAATCATACAGTGGAAGTTTTCTCCCCCTGTACTTGGTTCCTTCAAAGGCTCAGTTCCCATTCTACCTCTCAGACTTATCAGGTGGCACCACCTCCTGGTGCAAAGGGACAGCTTGCCCTGTTTTGGCGTGTGTTTTTTGTTTTTGTTTTTTTAATTTAACTTTTTTTTTTCATTTTATTTTCCCTTACCTTATATAGACACT